TATATATATGATGCAAATGATTAGGAAAGACAATTGGATTTTGTAATGATATTTTTCCGTAGCGAGTTAAAATTTGTTCTATAAATTACCGATTTTTTAAAATTATTTTCACGCACAAAGGATATAACAAGTATTAAACAAAATTAAGGGAACCTCAGAAAATACATTCTGCTGCCCTGAGCAAACGTGTTATGCGAGTAATAAACTCTCTCTGTAAATGATAATTTGAATACTTTTGGAGAATTTTTGAGATATGTGACCCAAGTTGAGGATATATTCGTACGTAAACGTACTCTTATGTAAGATTTAGAATATTTCAAAACTTTTTTCTTTTGAATATTTGACCATAATAATACATACAATTTTACCTGCAATGCAAGCTCTAACCAGTCCTTTGGCTTAGGGAGTCCTTCAGTGTTGTTCTGAAACTCGTTGAGGAAGCCAGCTGTCGAATATGAGGTAGAATCAGCCAACGCTTCCAAGAAACTTTGCACACGTTCTTGCTCGGCGGCTGCTCCAAGGGATCCACTTCCCATCAGTCTTCGAACCATAATAAATAGACATCAAACACTGTCATTGTCCGTACAGTGTTAGATGAAACGCAACAAAGACATATTCAAAATAAATTCTGTAGGAACTCTCTCCGTACATAAACCACTCTTAATCCTAAACACAGGATTATCTCCAAAAGGGATGTTTCCACATCGATGGCATGGCTCCATTCCATGCCAGAAAAAAGACCCTTTGAGTTTTGGGATAACTATATACGAAGTCTCTGGAATTATTTTTCAAATATGGCTCCATATATTTTATTTACAATTTGGGGTTGAAAATAAGGAAAGTGCCGACAGGTCAGATTTTCATTCAAAAACTTCTGAAATTTCGAAAATTGTAAATAGCTATGCGCAAATTGTGAATTTGATACTCTCACGCTACTGTTGCTGAAAAGTTTTTCAAGAGATGAATAAAGAATCAGTAGGACACAAATTGTACTATTATAATATTATATTATATAGTATTCTTAATTATTCGTACTCAACAGCTACAAATGGCACGGAAAAGTATGTACTGTTATGGTACCACTAGCTCACACAACACCGTGGGTTTTATCAACATTCAAGGAAAACTGGGAGGACAGAAGGTTTCAAGGTCGCAGTAGAAAGAACTTCAGAGCCTCAAAATTCATGAAAGATATTATATGAGCGGTCACTTATTAACTTTCACTAGCAAATAAAATGACACCGCTACAATAAAATTGTTGGAAGGTAAAACTCTACTTTTCAGACAGTAGTAGCTAAACATATTATTATTATTATTATTATTATTATTATTATTATTATTATTATTATGACTACACACAGAAGATACAGTAGGACCTCTTTACGGTATCTTCAATAACTCTTTAATTCTCGACATCTCGAATTTTACTGGCCATGCGTAATTCGTACGTGTGTCGTACGGTAATAACGTATGTGTCTCCTTTTTTATTCGAAATATCACGGAATATCTGTAAATTTAAGTGGAAAACGGGAAAAGGTGTGCTTTATTACTAGAGACAGGATTATATTCAAGTTGCATTGCATGCATATTTTTTAGATAAATGCATATTTTAACAAACTTGCGTATATCAGCATAATACTTCTGTTTAATGACATCCGACTCATAAATTGCAGGGGGAGTTCCTACAAGTAAGTCATTTTCGTTTGTTCCATTCTTGGGACGCCAATAATGTCTTCAAGAACCAAAGACCAAAAAATTCCGACTATTCAATTACAGCAAACAAGAACAATATAAGTTCAGGTAGGTTGCAACAAGAAAAATGTTCTTTCAGGAGAAATTTTTGATGGTCTAAATATGGCACCTTCTTTAATGGCACGATTTAAAAATTACCCAATAACAGCGGAAGATGTTGAAAGAACATTTTCATTTTACAAACATATGTATGCAGATAAGAAGTGGTTCTTGGTTGATAATTTTGAAAAACACGTTATGGTAAAATATTTCGCAAATACTACTACCTGATAAAATCATTCACATGTAATCTATCGTTAAATGCATTTAATAATAAATTTACTACATTGCAACATTATTAATATGCTTGTTGTCATTTCTAATCCATATTTTCTGAAGTTTTGTTTGCATATAATTTGGTATAAATATTTGCCATGCATATTTAAAACTAAAAAACACACACATACTAGTTCCTAAACACGCTTGCATATAATCCGATCCCCATTTATTACACACGTGAATTCTATGTTTTTATAAATTGTTTTCAATCAAATGTGCCCATAGCTAGTGCTATGAATTATTTGCAGTTAAAAGAACCATATTGTCCTTAAAATGGAATAAACATAATCGTATATTCTTAGTTAACTTCAGTTCTATTGTTAAAATTTATTTGTTAATGAAGCTATTGAAAGATGCATTCACAGTTCAATCTCATCTGTCCCGTATTTTTCGCAGTTCAAGGTGAGTGCATCCTTTAGATATACTTACCTCTGAGCAACGCTAATCGTAGAAAGGGAATCAGATTTGTTTTCTGGACAGACAATTACAGAGGGCAGAAAGTACTTCCAATTGATATAGGAACTCTCCAACGACATCACCACTGGACTCTCTTGATAGCGTTCCCACGTTTCCAGGCAGAGCAGCAGGCTTCCAACGCACGCACCAACCATCGCCACAGCCCACAGCACACTGCGACAAGACGCTAATGCAACTGATGTCAAAGAATATTTTTATATGTACACGGCTGAACTTCGCATCTTTCCACCTCTCCTCTTGCATCTCCCGACCTCTCGCATCTCCCGACTTCTACAATATACGAACGCTCTTTCGTGGAATAGCGGAGGATAGCGACAGTGTTATTACTTATTACAATATTTATTTCTCGTATGGACAATTGCTGCTTCTGAGCATTGCGAAAGAGACTTTGATTTGCTTTTATCACGACCGGGTGCTTCGAGCATCTTGGATGACGATGATGCCGACAGAGGAGGAGGGAGATGGTAAGCGTCCTATACAAAGGACTGCGGGTGCCATTCCCTTTCACTTTTTCGCCTTACTTCGAAAGAAGAGAAAGTATTGTAATCGTGCGTCGGAAAACGTCGATTTTTTCAAAGGAAAAACTTTTATAACAGGTCAACAGGGATTTTGCTGTTTTACGTTTTGATGTCTTTTTATAATAAATTCAATGTTCTGGTTCCAAAAACGACGTCCATTTAGTCCTATCACATACCGTTTTCTTACAAAATTAAAATCTTCATTTTTTATTTATTTGGCTATTGTTTTGTGATCATAACCCATTACACCATGAAAACAATGACATTTATTGTAATAAATCTACTTAAATGAACAAGCTGACTGGTTTGGTGGTAGATGGCAGCACATCTTAAGCTGCTTCCACCTTTTTTGTGTTGTGAATTCATCTGTACAGGCCATAATAGTTGTTCTGTAAAGCAAGAAATTAACATTTGAGTGCTACCATTTTCTTGTTTGTATCATATGTAATTTCGAACAGAATAATGGAAAGGAGGTGTTGTGTAAATAATCCAAATTCATTTTGCTATGTTTTATTTGTATTTTATATGTTTATTGTGAAGAAGAAACATAACCTCATTTGTAACAAAAGCTTACAAGGCATACTTCGGAATCCATCTAGGGGATCAGTCAAGGCCTTGGGCTCCTCATACTGTGTGCAGTGTTTGTGTTGAAGACTTACGAAACTGGATGAACGGAAAGAAACCATCACTACATTTTGGAATACCAACATCTCAGACTTAATAAACAAATTGAGTTCTGTTAAATATGATCCAAATGACTGGAGGCTATTCATCGATTCGAGTACAAGAAGTCTTAAAGGCGTGCTGCTACACTGTGGTAAAGTTCTTTCCAGTTCCCTTCTCATTTCCAGTAGCACACTCAGTACGGCTGAAAGAGAGCTATGAAAGTTTGAAGTTTGTTTTGGAGAAAATTAAGTATGTTGAGCATCAGTGGTTATTTTGTGGAGATTTGAAAGTTACAGTACGATATTAGGACAACAACAAGGATTCACGAAATATCCATGCTATATGTGTGAGTGGGATAGCAGGGCAAGAGAAAAACATTGGAAACAAAAACAATGGCCCAAAAGAGACAGTTTAACACCGGGAAGTACGAACATAATAAGGGATAGACTAGTAAATCGTAAGAAAATAATTTTGCCACATCTTCATATAAAACTTGGTATAAAGAAACAGTTTGAGAAAGTTCTTAACGAAGATGGTGATTGTTTTAATTATCTCAGTCACAAATTTCCTGCTCTGTCTGAAGCAAAAATTAAAGAAGGAATCTTTGTGGGTCCTCAAATCTGAGCTTTAACTACAGATAGAGAATTTGAAGCTAATATGACCTCTAAAGAGAAAAATGCTTGGAATGCATTTAAAGAAGTTATAGACAATTTTTCTAGGAAATAATAAACATCCTGATTATGTCAAAATTGTGAACAACATGTTATGGGAGTTCAGAACTTTGGGATGCAACATGAGTCTCAAATTACATTCTGTTTTCACATTTGGATCTATTTCCTGACATTACTTTCTGTTTTCACATTTGAATGTATTTCCTGACAACCTGGGGGCATTAAGTGAAGAACAAGGAGAGAGATTTCACCAGGATGTTCGAGAAATGGAGAGGAGATACCAAGGACGATGGAATATTTCAATGATGGCAGATTACTGCAGGATTCTGTGTAGGGAATCTACGGAAATACAAAAGAGAAAATCCAAGAGACAAACATTTGAAACTAAACGAACAAGATTTTACTGATGTATGTTTATAAACAGAATGGAAATGTGAAATGTTTGGCAACAAAAACTCACATATGCATTTGTGAGTATTATATAAATGCTGATTTTGCAATTTTTTAACAATAACATATGTGAATATTTCATTCTTGATTTGCCAAAGAACCTGATGTGATGGAGAAAAATGAAGGTCATTTTGGAAATCAGTGGGAGTGAAATATATAGAATCACATTTCAAATAAAAAACAGCTCACAAAAAAAAATAATTTGTAGACCTGTGTGACGGGACCTTGTAAAGAAGAAGTGAATAAATCTTATTTCTATGTAACGTAAATTACTTCCTCTAACTCAGTTCTTGATGCCTTAAAGTCGATTGAAAAAATCTCCCGTCTGATTGACCGTCTGTGCCTATATTGAAACTTATATTGATTTGGGAGGTACCTTTACAAGAATAATCAATTACATTTTCTAAATATTCTCAAATATGGTTCAAAATTTGTTCATTAAACTTTGTCCTCGGATAGCGAAAAAGGCGCTTAATACAATCAGATCTCATTTTCGTTGAAATCATTAATTTTTTGAAAATTGCAGAAGTTCAAAAACTTTTCGGCATCTTCCTAAAACTACAATATTTAAGAAAATATTTTGTTTTAGATCATGCACGTTTCAAAAATATGCAAAGTTTTTTCATAATTTTTCAAGATATTTAAACAATTATTTTCTCAAAAACGCTGAAATGTTTTTAATGTTCTCATATGTATCAGAGAACGGTAAAGAAAATGGTATTATTCCCAATTTCGGCGAACACTCTGTACTTTCGAAAATTGAGAAAGATTAATATTGCATAATAACAAATCTGAAGATAGCTTTTTGTCGTAAATAAAATCTGTTCTAAAAAATTAGATCTTTAAAAACGATCACGCTTAATTGTCTGAAAAAAATGATATTTTCTAGTAATATCTGCTTATAGTTAATATAAATTATAAAAACAATTCTCAAAAACCGCTTAAAATTTTATTCTCAAAAAGTGATGAATGATTGGTACAAGGGATATTAAAATAATGACGCAGGTCTCATTTTTGTTGAACTCCCTGAATTTTCGAAAATTGAAAAAGTTAGATATAATACGAGAAAGTATGTGATATTGTAGCGTCACTCTTTTCGACTACAGCCTTGCGAGTGAAAGCAAGAGGAAGGAGGGTCTATGACGGCAGGAAGCGAGAGAAGAGCCTTCTGGCATCAATTGATGTCACTGCAGTGCCTCTGACCAGGAGGTCCAAGGTACGAGTCCCGATGGTGCCACAATCTTCGACAGTAGCCAGATAGATAGGTCAAATTCTGTCGCTGTCTGGAGGAGAATATTAGCGGTCGGCTGCTCTGATCGGTAGTTTTCCGTGGTATCTTCGATCAATACCAGGCGAATGCTGGAACAATATCCTACTAAGAGGGCTTCGGACCGCGCGCAATCTTTCCTTCCCATTCTTTCTCCTATCGTCACCCCTTACATACACTCAAACTTACATGCACTACACTACCTCCCATGCCTGGAGTCCGGTTAGGAGCATAGAGCTTTTCCCGGCTGTGACGGTGCCCCGCTGATGGGAAATACCCGGTTGGAATAAACCCCGCTAGCTGACGGTAGGTCGGCGCCGGATCTCGCCACCCTGCGGGGCAAAGATTACCACCACCTCTCGTGCAAACTGTACTACATTTAAGGAACTAACGTCCTTAGCCTTTGACGCGTCAGGATTCACTAGTCAATCAATCAATCAATCAATGAAGGCAAGCGTGAGATCGATTGCCCAAGAACATTTGTAAGAAATCAGCTTTGTGAGCGGCCATGCTTGATTCGCGGGTCGTCAAAACTTTCAATGTAATTTTAATAATTGAATTTTTCAAGGAAATCTAGCTTATCGCTGTAACTTCATATCACATTGTCTTATTTTATAAATACATTTGTAAAATGTTAAATTTGGGTTCCTGTTTGAATCCTTTTTCTTGTCCATTCCACCAAGAGAAATCAGGAAGCTGCCAGGGCCATGGGATTAGTTGCTCAGAAATATGTCTTCCAAAAAAATATAGTAGTTTTGGATTTTGTCTAGGTGATGCTGAAAGGCCCTGTTTATTGATACTGTAAATATACAATAGGTATAATCCGCATTGGCTCTTGTGTTCCAAAACCGTAATAAGTTAAAATAAGGCCACAATACAACAATGTCAATGTTACGAATAATCCATATTGGAAGAGATGGATTGTATTATTTGAACTGTAAGAGTTTGTTTACAAATAAAGAATTGTATTTGTAATCTAGCGTTATCTAAGGTGTGGATTTGGTATGCTGGGCGATAATTTTGCAAGAAAAGGAAACATTGATTCGGTCAAGTGACAATTCGAACATCTACAGAATACAGGCTAGAAAATGCAAATTTAGTTGTTGGCAAATGCTAGTTGATGCAAAGTTTGAAGAGTAAATGAAGAGAGATTTTGTGAAATGATGAGTGTACTCTTGAGGAAGACTAGGTCGGAACGTCGAGTAGAATTGATTATGTCTGAACATCACGTGAAAAGGACATGCGGTTATCGAAAAGTGATGAATGATTGGAGCCATAACAAACAAGACATGAAGACAGAACGAAACATGCAGCCCATGTATGCAGGGAGTAGGCAACCAGTTGGTGATCAGGCCAGGCATGTTCCAGATAAGTTATACAAATAGACATTTTTAGTTAGTGCCTAGGCTATGTGAAGTGGAGAGGTGTATTTAAACAAGCAAAATATTTTTTCTGTTATAGATTGGATTGATAAAAGTCGTATTCATTTCATTGGAAGCACGAGTTTGTGAAGGTTTTTAACACAGAAATTTTATGAAATAGTAAACTATCATAACAATTCTTTAATAAATATACACGTTGCAGACATTACACAATTTGAATGCGAGATCTTGTGATTATACTGAGTATTCCACTCGTGAAATTAATAATAATAATGTTTATCTATACATACAAAATGCCCCTATCACGGCGGTGTATCTAAAAAGTTTATCGTTTTTTCTATCCTATTTTTCTTAGCGCTACTTCCTACTGGCCAATCATAATCTATGACTCGTCTATCTTAGGAGGAGGTATTGTACATCGATGTCTGATACACCGCGTATATACTATAACATAACATCTGATTTTAACATAGATAATAACACCGTGTCCGAATTCCGGTTTTGAATAACTGTGTATATAACGTAATAATATGAAGAATTATATAGTAGTTCACACATTATTACATAACTCAAAGCAATTTCCGACTCATCATAACCAGTACAGTAATTTCACTTCATTCTTCTATTAGATAACTTTTCTAGAAAAGACAATTTTAACATTTTAGGAGAATAATAATTTAGGTACATAATATAACGAATTATTTCGCTCTAAAACTATTTAATGTTAATAAATAAATAAAAAATAGGTACCCGGTAGGGGTCACATAAGAAAATTGGGACCACAGGCTGGATTATTTTTAATGTAGTTTTGTTTGACAATTTTGTAAATCCTCGTGATTTTTACTATTTTTTTATTTCAATCTGCAAGTTCCTATGCTCATCCCATGACTGCGAGTTATTTCCGAGCTATCAATTAATAGAGTTTACTTTTATCTCGCAGGTTTCTCAAATCGCAAAACTATGTAATGCACGTTGAACTTTTTAACATACTGCAGTTCTTTCGAACACACTAGATCCTTCACCATTGATCCAGTATCTACAAAAGGAAAACTTTCTTTTCGAACCGAAAGAAAATTAGCAGGTGTAGATGATCTCCCACTCATGTTCCCTGAAACATCCGCAAAGGCCCATTGCCAAGGTTTTCGTTATCGGCGGCCGCCGTCTGCTCCTCCCTCCCGCCCCCCCTTGCTCGAAGCTGCTTCGCCTAGTGCCTGCTCTCGAAGGGAATTCGGCTCTGGCGTCATTTCGCCTTCAGTTGCCAAATGTTGATTGAGAGATCCAGATGCGTCGGAAACTTCTGAACCTGCACTGAAGTCGGCTTTTACAACTCATTTTCACAAATATTAAATCAAGGATCAACATACTGAATTACTGAGAATTACTGAATTTCTTTTTTCAAGAGATAACTATTCGTGTCAAAAAAGAGTTGAGTTCCGTTAAAAGATCGAATGTAGTCTAATATTCGTACAATAAAAAAATATTTCAAAACGCTGATGAGTCTCTTCGTACTGAATCGTTTGGTGAAAATTCCAACTCAGTGTATTAAACCGTTTAAAAATATTCGAAGTGGACGTTTTATTGACTTCCTGTTTTTAATATATTAAATATTTGCAACAAAAAACCAAGAATTATAAATTTGGCCCCCAAGTGCGGACCAATGATAAACTTGACTTTTAAATGAAATTCAGTTAAACGCAAGTACTCACTGTTCTGAGTAATGGCGATCTCGAAAAGAGAAGTTCAGGAAACCTTGTACAGTGGTGACTCGCAACAGCTCCTCCACATATTTGCGTCGAAACTTGGCTTTCCTATCGCGGATGCTCTCCTCGCTTTTGTTCTGCTCTTCCAAGCCCATCACCCATATTGTGGCCACCTTGCGAGTGGTGACTTTTGACTTCGGCAGCTTACGAACCGAGCTGGCGCTGCTGAACTTGACGTCCGTTGCCTTCACTGCGCGCGCCCAAGCGGCGTAGGGCTGCCCAGGCAGCGCGCCCTTACCGGATTTTGGAGGGAGCGTCGACATTTTGTGTCTATAGAAAGAAATTTACTATTAATTTTTAGTCTGCCACTTCTAAAAACTGGTCTGCCAGGGCATACACTGTTTAGACAAGACTTGAAGGTGAGGGACCCCCAAATAATTTCATACACAGACCATTGGATACAATTTTTCTTTATTTTTCGGGCCACATCATAATTTGCTACAGTCTCGGGGAATAGTTGTCCCCATCAGGCTAAAAATTTCAAAAAAATTACTTTAAAATTCCCATAATATGATTTTGCGACATGCGTCGGCAAGAGGCCGTGTCAACCTGCCACCATGGCAGTGGAGTGAATAAGTATTGGTTGCAATGTATTTATTTGAAAGTATAAAATTTGATGTATGTAGAAAGTGGTGTAATGCTGCAAAAAAATCGATTTCGAGAGGGGTTCCCTGATATCGAAAAATGATTTGTTTTTGAAAACGTCCGTCTGTCGGTGAACATCCTAGTGCCTAAAACACACGTAGGATTTTTTCGAAAATGGATATTCCCGATCTGGGTCGACTCGAGGTGCTGCGATTTTGAAAACCTTTCTTCAAAATTTGGAGGTACGCTACATAAAGCCACCTGGAGAATTTCAAAATTTTCTCAAAAACGACTTGAATTTTTTTCTTTAAATTTCTTGTAAATATAGAGTAAAATACACTTGTAAATGTGGCATAGTCCGATTTTCAGGGTTAACTCTAATTTCCAAAAATAACAAAATTTTGAAAATTTCCGGCACTTTGCTATACCACAAAATTGAAGATATATTTTTTTTACTTCAAATAAAATTTGTTCTTCATAGTGAGTTTTTTCATTAATGTCGGAATATTGCGAGCAATATGTGCAATTAAAAAAAAATACAAAAACAAGATTTTTTTCAAATACGGCTCCAAATTGTTTCTTTAAACTTTTGGTAAAGATAGTGCAAAATATACTCTGTAATATGAAATTCTCACCATATTGATCTGCTCTTTTGTTTTTTTCAAAAATTACAAAAATGTAATTTTTTACTTGTCTCTCCTTCGTTAATATTTATATTATCGGCAATTTGTTCATTTTACTGTAAGTACATGTGCTTTAAATAATGTCATATATAGGTTTTCGAAAAACAGATTTCTGTGAAAACTAGCGCAAAATTCCGCATTTTCCGAAACGCTCATTTTCTCAAAAACTGCTCCAAATTTTTTCTTCAAACTTTTCGAATGGATAGAGCTAATTGCACTTTTTAATATGACGAAGTCCATTTTGGGGTATTTTATGTCTTTTAAAAAATACACAAAAGTATTTTTTTTGACAGATCTCTCACGCCGTTAATATGCACATTTCCAGCAATTTGTAAGCGCTATTCTATTTGTAAGATAAAGTGATTCAAATGAAATTTTTCGTAAACTCAAAACTTTCTGTGAAAAGAGCTTCAAATTTCGAATTTACAGTACCGCTGAAACTCCATTACTTAAAAACGGCTCAATTTTTTTCAAAGAAAGTTGCCATTTGCGACGGAGTTTTACTCTTCTTTAATATCCTCAAAATAATATTTCTGTTCTACTTCTAGGAAACCAAAAAAATTCAGATTTTTTTAAAATGCACTTTGGGCGGCGACAGATGACAGCTGAGAGTATATGGCAAGTTAGTTTAGCTAACCGATGCGAAATAAATAGAAAACTAATACGGGAAAGTCTATGCCATTCAGTAGCTTTGTTTCTTTGAACCATTTAAAATTTTGTTTTGTACCTTTCAATAGAGCGATCTGGGACATTGGGTATCAACTCCAATACCGTGGGATTGCCAAAATATGATAAATCATGATAAAAAATAAAGATGCATTCAAATGTCTATCTTTCAAAAGAGAACATGCGATTCATAAGCATTATGCCAAATTAGAGAATCAGTAGAAAATTATTCTTGCAAATCACTCTTGGTGGAAATATTTTAGTTTAGCAATCATTAAGTAATAAAATATTGAATAATTACCGTATAGCAGATATGGTGTCGGAATCAACTTGAGACAGATATTGTACCAACGAGAAACATTGTGACTATTGTTCACAATGAAGAACTTTGATTATATTTCACCCTCAAATCAAAATAAATGTCAAAAATTTCAAGTTTAATTAAACCAAGCTTACGAAAGAAATGGAGAGTTTAATCGCGATAAATTGTGAAACATGCAATTGGAGCCTGATGACACTATGAACGGTAGATGATAATCATTGGGCAAGTAATAAATTATCAAGTATAGTACGGCAGACCTAAAATAATCCTATTCTCATGCTTGACTGATAATACAAAAAACAAAAATTCCTACCTTGCTTGGTCAATCCATTTTGTGCAATGCTTCCACCGCTTCTGCTGATGACGCTTCTGCGGACTAAAACTTCCAGTCCTCTTGGTTGAATACGGACGGCCTTATGCGACTGATGCCGCTCGCCAGGTTGCCCTTATTTGCCGATCCAATCTCTGGGGCGCTGGCTCGCCATGAAGTGTACACTGTTCTAAATGTACGCGTGAGGCTGTTTTCCACAACGGTAGGTGACCGTGGCCATCAAAATTAAATTGAAACATCTAGCGCAGTCCCAACGCACGCAAACGGATTATTGCGATGGCAAGACTGATATCCAAAACCTATTGTAGTATTAGGAATGAAATTTAACTCGAATTATACACGTTAATTACATTCACCAGTTTTATTAGTTTTGTTTATAAAAGTAAAAATGACATTAGCCTGAAATTATATTTTAATAGGTACCTCAAAATTGCTGAGAAAGTTAAAACCAAATTCTGATAATCGAATTACGTAATTATTAACAATACGACTATTTTTTGTCAACTTATACACCAGAAAAGTAATTATCTTTTAATCTTTGGGATTTTGCTTTCACATATCAATCATACAATACAGAACTAATAATAATTAATGGACTACAATGGAGAATTTTATAAACTAGTCTATAACCTTGAAATAAAAATCTATTCTTAGAAAAAAATCCACAGAAACAAATAATGAACGAAGTGAAATATATAATTAAATAGAGAAAAAAAATTAATGGAATGAGGACAGAGATACAAATGTGAAAAAGAACTTTCGAATTACTACAAAATGTTATTTCAAAGAAGAATTATCGAATTAACTAGTACTAAAATATTTCACTCAAATTGCAGAAAAATAGTCATGGGTTAAAATAATAATCTAATCCAACATATTTTCGAAAAATTGAACATTTTTCGCAGATTTGTTTCGGATGAACGCATCTTATTAAAAATATGTTTATGATAGGAAATGCGAATGCTTTAGAAATTGTCGATAAATCTCCGACTCGGGAAGTGAAGAGGAGATTTATCTGAGAACTTCCAAAGCACAAGTGATATTTAACGAAGACTACGCAATGAATGAAATTGTGTTCAACAGAGTTCCGAAATGCGCCAAATATTGAAAATGATGTATCATAATTGGAGGTGTAAGAAAATGACGAAAAAATGAAATTTTTGCACTTTTCGAAAAATCAGAGTTTTCAACGAAAATTAGACCTTCGCCACAACAAAATTTAATAAAAAACGATGCAGCTTTTTTTAAAATTTGGATAATACCCCAGGGGCTTCATGTAAAGTACTCCCCAAACTTAAAAATCGGTTTTAAATTCAAGGGGCCGTGACATCACCCGGATCGAACGAAGAATATCAATTTTAGCCGAACTAGCCGCTAGCGTTGTTCACAGACGGACGGACAGTCGTTTTTCAATCATTCGATTTTTCAGGATCAAGGACCCACAAAACACGTATTCTGGCTACACCACTTGTTAGAGGACTTTTTCTAAATTTAGCAACTGAATTTATCCACTTTCTCGTTATCAGAGCCCTGTAATAAGTATTTTTCTACCGAAAATTCGCCATTTTTTTGCGCAGCATTACACAACTTTCTCTCTACTACTTAAACGGAAGCGGGAAAGTAAAAAAAATGAAATGAAATAAGTAATAAAAAATATAAAGAATTCTACTCTCGGTTGTTTGATAAGAAACAAGTAGGCATACTTTTGTATCAAGCAACCATTCCTGAGCGCGGTTTTCACTAAGCTCCCCAGCTACAGCTACTGCGCCCTACCCGGTTCCTCCCCCTGGATTTGGAGAGAAATGAGAGCGGAGTAAGGGGAAATGGCCCACTCTCGCAGGCGCGAAAGTATCTCGCGCGACGTGCCTGTTCTACGTACACCATTCTGGTCAGACGAAACATTCTGGACTCCCATTTATTAAAATATTTTGTACAATACATGTTGCAGAAAATCAGCTATTATCGGCATTTTTTAACATTTTATTTTATTTTATTTTATTTTGATATACAGAAAACTTCACTGAACAATCACGGCTCAGAACGTCAGGTCTTGCCGGCAAGAGACGACTAGAACAATTGTTATGGCACTTTCTTGCACTTCGGTGTTTGAAAAAAACTGTCATACAAAAACTTCAAGTGAATCATTGCTTGATGCACATTGTATTGGGAACTCAAATTCAGTTTGTTTAACTATGGTGGGGAAGAGGAAGTGTTCATAATCATTTTAAGAAAACTGAGTCGTTTCTGAGGATCTTGGCAAATTTTGAAAATTTAGGTAGAATTACAAATTTTTGATCAAGTGAATTATAATAAAATTATAAACTGATAGAATTTAAATAGGTTTTCCTGTGAATTTTCCATTAAAAATAACTATGTGATTGTAAAAATATTCAGGGTTTGTTTAATTATATTGTTTTATTTGAGACAGGAATTTCTGCAATTATATATCAATAAATATACTAAGGGATTCGAATAAAGAACCCTTTAAAATAAAATAAAAAATCTGCCTCAAAGTCGCAGGCCCCAAGTTGAATCAGACCAGCAGGAAAAGAGTAATTTGAAGAAAAAGCATGTGTGCCGTTTACGTCGCAGTGTTGTTTTGTTTACAGACGGATGAACGAACGTTTTTAGAAAGAAAATAAATAGAACATATAATAAGCAAAAAATGATGTTTGTAATGTGTAATACTATACAAGGTGTGCATTCAATGTCTAATTTTTGTAAGTTATTTTCTTATATATTACTTAATCCAAAAGTACAATGATACCACACTAGTTTTTTTCAATTTCGAAACGCTTCCCCGAATATCACAAATACTATCATGCCTCCCCTTGCCAGTGGCCATTGTGTTTTAACGTGCTCGACGTCACATTGCGTGCTGAAGCCGTGGAGTAGCTGTCACGGAGAGGGCTGGGGGTGGGGAGTAGTGGCCACGAGGTTCTGACTTTTGCCCTTAAACTGCTGATGGGGTGCGATAGGCTAGAGCCCGGAAGAGCGGGGAAGGCCGACATCCGTTCGGTGTTACTCCTTTTGGCATGCATGTCATTTGACGAGTTTGCATTCAGCGTACTATTGAAAAGTGGAGAGCCACTCCACACCAAGATTACCGTTACATGCAATGGCTTGTTGACTCGATGTATTACTCGTAAATTGCAAGTTTCTTCCCCCCCCCCCCAGAAATACATGTAATTTCATGTAATTTTAATTTTTGTTGAAATGCTGTATGTGTTACTTTCAAGGCATGCTGGAATATTGAGAGTAAGAATCTCGTTATAGTTGGATCTAATTTAGATATAATACAAACAAAGGAGTTCAATTTAACAGTATCGCAAACAAAATATATTCTTCAGAAGATTTTTTCAAAAAACCATCCATTTTTACACTTTTTTGGGTGAATTTGTCTATATATAGCAACTATAGCGTAATATTTTCAAGATAATTCAATAAAACATTAACTTCACATGAAATTATCAACAAACAATAAAAGGTAAAATAATAATAAATAAGAAATGATAAAATATGCAGACAGCGAGTTTGTTTGTGAAGTGTTGGCTTCATGTCGATGTTCCATAAAATAATACTTGAGGGATAGGTCATAAAAAGAATAGGGCGAGTGTCCCCGGTACTGAATTCATTTTCCTTCCGGGGGCAGAAATCAGACCCGCGGGTGAATTTCAAAAATATAACTCAAAGGCATGAATGGAAATATAAAATATACTTGTATTGATATTATCGATCACGATCTAATCATCACCCCTGTGGGGCCCAATTGTGTTCCTGTTTCGACGTGGCAATGAATGTATCCTGACTACATCCCGTGGCAACTTTACTTAAGGCTAAATGCACCGAAAAATACTTGTAGGAAAATTCAATAGATCGCAGTACTATCACAAGAGAATTTACTTTACTGATAACGTCTCAATCAATGGTCCGATTTTCGATTTGTAAACGGCATTTGACGCC